ATTTAGTTCAAAATCCTTTTGTAATAATAATTCGAACGCTAAATGGTTCGTTACAGTTTGATTGTCATATTCGGAAAAAAAAATCAGTCGGAAACTGTAATTTTTTTATTTATTCGATGGTCCAGGTTAGGCACAGCAAAACGCCTGCATGTCCCCATTACCGTACACGTAAACGTAATAAATGCTGTAGAGTTTATGATTGAAATCTGCGTACATAATAATTTATTCCCTGCTACGTAGATTACATTACGTAGAGATATCTATAGATTTTTGTGATTGGCGGTAAAGAAGTGAGAAAAAAATTTGATAACAATGGGATGATAAATGGGAGCAATAATTACCACAATAATAATAGTATTATAATAATAGTATTAATGATTACTTTTAAAAAAAACGTTATCTGTTTGGTAGAAATGGCGAAGACTAAGAAGGAGAAGAAGAGAAAGAAATACACAGAAGAAACTTTAAAAGCAGCTGTAGCTGCTGCAAAGACTGGGCGAGGACTTCGGGCAGTCAGTCTCCAATATAATGTACCGAAAACCACTATCATCGACAAAATGTCTCAGCCTGAAGTACTTCTGAAGAAAGGTGGACCTCCGACCGTGCTTTCCGACGAAGAAGAGCAACAAATCGTTGGGTGGATGATGCATATGAGTGCATGCGGATTTCCGGTTACGAAAAGTGTCCTCATTTCCAGTGTGGCAAGTCTTATCAAAGAACTCAATCGAAAGAATCCATTTACAAACAATTGCCCAGGCCGCAGCTGGTATGATGGATTTCTCAAACGTCACCCGGAGTTGGCTCAAAGAATTGCCCAAAATTTATCATTCTCGCGATCATCAGTCACCGAAATTGCTTTACGAAAATGGTTTGCTGAAGTCAAAACTTATTTGGATAAAGAAAATGCTGCCGATCTCGATGCGACAAGGATTTTTAATTGCGACGAGTCAGCGTTATATCTCAGCCTTAAAAGCGAAAAAGTTCTGGTGAAAAAAGGAGATAAAGCTGTGTACAACTTTATTCATAACGATGATAAAGAATGTTTGACCGTCTTGTTCATGGCTAATGCTGCTGGCGTAATGGCACCGCCGATGATACTTTTTTCGTACGAGAGGATCCCTGCCAGTATATCCGCAAGTATCCCCAATTCGTGGGGAATAGGAAAAACCGAGAGCGGGTGGATGACCGGCGAATGCTTTTTTGAGTATATCACGAACGTATTTTATCCGTGGCTCGTTGCGAATAATATCGCGTTTCCTGTCGTGCTGTACATGGATGGGCACTCATCTCATCTAACCATGGCGCTTAGTGAATTCTGTAGAATTCACAAGATCATACTCGTTGCGTTGTACCCCAATGCAACGCATGTAATACAGCCACTCGATGTTGCCTTCTTTCGACCAGCAAAAGGTGCCTGGCGTAAAGCGACGACTGAATGGAGAATGAACCATAACGGCATACGAATGAGAAAGGAACACTTCGCATCTCTACTTCAACAAGTTCTCGATACACTCAGCAGTTCCAATATTCTACGCAGAGGATTCGAGGCTTGTGGTTTGCATCCATTAAATCCAGATGCTGTGAATTATCAGAAACTGATTTCCCGTTTGAAATCTGAAAACCTCGAACCGTGGACGGGCGATTTAGAGGATCAGAGTCTTTTTCGAGTTTGGAGTGCTATTCGTCAACGTAATGGAACTTTATCTTACTAATAATTTACTTTAATACCGATTATCCTATCCTATCTTTTTTTTCAATCTTACTTTTCCTCGTCTTCTTTACTCCTTTCTTCGTTTTTTTTTAGTTTGCTGATCATTTTCTTTATATAGCGTTTACCGGTTCTTTTTTTAATCTTTTGCTTGGTTTTTCTATCAACTTTTCTTTTCCGATCCCGCTTTCTTTAGATTCGAAAAGACAACGCGACAATGCGACAACGTCTCACGATAATACGAATAGTATGCCGAACACCGAACAGGAAACAGCGAGTCTGGAGAAAGAAAAACAGCAATACTCGGATCACGAATTCACTGTAATCCCTGTTCAACATGCAATTGTCGACGTCAATAATCAGGGCGAAGAAGAAATTCCGTCATTGAAGTTCAAGCAAAATCTTGATTTCAATGAGAACGACTTGTTTATCGATTCGACTATTACAGAAAAAATTATCCATTTTGACTTGATTGAGACACTTACAGACGAGGCAACAATAGAAGTCGAGGATGATGGTTCACTATCAAAAGTCATTGAGGACCCCGGCGATAATCAAATCTTCAATGTCGATTCATCTCTATTGGAAAGCGCGACGAACAATTTACTGCATCAGCCGACAACTCTCGTTGATCGTGAAACTGCTCCAAAAAGTACATCCATGTTTATGGAATGATTTTCTATAGCGCCCGTTGATTTTTAATCAAACGTGAAATCTTTTTTTGTATAGGTGAAGATGAAAGGACATTGCAGAGACATTCCACTCTCCAATCCACACTCGATGAATCGATGGATCTTCCGTGCCAGCATCCCGACAGCGATCACAACCTCTGCGCTGGGACGGCGAATAGCGACTTGGAGTTCATCGCACAACAGTCGACGGCGCCAGGACCACAAGCCGTGGATCTCGAAAATGATCTTTCGAGCGGTCTCTGTATGCCTCAGAATGTTCCTGAATCATTTAAAAAAGCCCTTTTCTGGCCATTGCCAACCGAGAAAGATGACAAAAAACGACGCCAAAAAGAAAAAATTCCGACCGTTGTGACTTCTCGAGAGTGGCAGGCTTATCATGCAGCGAAAGCATTAAAAAAAATTAAGAAGAGTAATGATATCGAAGAAAGAAAGAGAAATCGCGAATTAGCTAGTATTAATAAAAAAAGAGAAGCCGAAGAGAAGAAAAAAAACAGACTCGAAGCTGCTGAAGAAAAGAAACGTATCATCGAAGCTGAAAAAGAAAGGAAACGTTTGGAACGAGAAGAAAAGGCGAGGAAAAGGCAAGAGAAGTCACTAAAAAAAAAGACTGTTAAAGTAAAGAAAGAGGTTCCCCTTTCTGAAGAGTCTCCGTTGTAAGCCATAAGTACTTATATGAAAAGACAGAGATGTAAAATTACGTTAAGTTAAGCTAATATTGATTGTTTGATATCATTTAATTAAAATAAAATAACTATTTTTTTTTCGTTTGAAACCTCCGCCTTGCATGCTCTGAAAAAAGGTAGTCGGTAATGGGGGCATGCCCGGTCGGAATTGGGCACAGCTGGTCGGTAGAGGGGGCACGCATTAGTGCGCTTTTATTCCTCTCTATCTAGAAAAATACTTGACGGAATGGATTGAGTCTACGATTTTTGGAAAGTGCATGGATGAAGCTATCCACCAGTATGTAACTCTTTATCGAATTTATTTTCGTCACGCTTGACAACGCCATTCTTTTGTTGGGTCGGCCTTATAGGGGTCGGGAATAGGGACATTTACCTTACCCGGTGTGCTCTCGTGAGGCAACCCGACGAAAAAAGGCGTGCCGAGGCGCAGACTCGGAACGCGTTATCAGGAGGCTTCGTTACGCACGGAGATTCCGTACAAAGCCGACTAGTTTCGGAATTGTGTAATTACCGCCTAAGAATTCAGCCTGCCGGCGGTCTCGAATTATCACGGGAATACCGCGCAATTGCACGAGATTCCTCGTCAGCTGAAAACGTGCCTGTTTGTAGAACTTAATGAATCTTTACTACCGAACAGTGCTGATTATTTAATACGGTTCTTAATAATTGTTTAGGCATTCGAAGTTTTACCAACGCAGGTAAACATGCCGCGACAAATAACGTCGAAACGCTATGCTTTCATGTAATATTGGCTATTTATCATATAGGACAAATTTTTTGTATTGTTAAATACATAGTTGTTACGGAAAATGCAATTAAAAACTTTACGCATTTGCAATTATAATTTGTCGCTTACAAAAAACGATTATTTATGTCCAATTTTGTCAATGTAGTTTCATTTTAATCTCGGGTTAATTTACTTTCCATCTTTCTCCAACTCTTAGGTCCAGTTTCACCAAACGTCGCTTAATTTTAATCTTAGTTTAATTCATGTATGTCTCTTTTTAAAGTAATAGCAGGAAGGAAACGAAGAGCGAATTAAGCTAAGCTTAAAGTTACGCGACGTTGGTGATACCAAGCCTTAGACACAATTTAACCAAGCGTCATTTAACTTTAATCTTAGTTTAATTCATTTGTCTCTTTCTAAGGTAACAGTTAAAAAAAGACAAAGAACAAATTAAGCTCAGCTTGACTTTAATGTTAGTTTAATTCATGTTTGTCTCTTTCTAAAGTAACAGCAGGAAAGAAACGAAGAGCGAATTAAGCTAAGCTTAAAGTTACGCGACGTTGGTGAAACCAAGCCTTAGACACAGTTTCACCAAGCGTCGTTTAACTTTAATCTTAGTTTAATTCATGTTTGTCTCTTTCTAAAGTAACAGTTGGAAAGAGACAAAGAACAAATTAAGCTAAGGTTAACCAACGTTGGTGAAACCGGACCTTAGAACTAGAAAAAGGTAAAAAGAAGGTTGTAGTGTATGGAGACGGTTCCCTAGTCGCGTATGAATACATGGACATGCGCACGGCGCGGCGTAGGGATACACGAAACAGAGAGTTGTTGGTTAAGAGACGGCTATTAGATTGTACCGAAATAAAGCACAGCTAATATTATTATCTAAGCTAATCCAGGAGTAGTCATTAACCCGCTACCTCGGATAGAGACGAATAGTAAGAGACACGACAAAGGTTAAACCGAGATTAATATTGATCTGAATTAATAGAAATGGACATTAATCTATGCGACATTGTCTGTGCGAAATAGTTCACTGTTAGTATTGCTACGTAAATTTTAATAAATTTAAATAACAATTTACATTGCGGCGATACTAACGGCGAACTATTTCGCACAGATCCAAATACAGTTCAGTCCTTTTAAATCCGCGGAAAGCACAGAACTGCCGCAACGCGATCCCTTGCACAATCGAGCTCCCTATAATGGCGTGTTCGTTTTCATAGAATGGATTTTTCAACCTTAAATCTATACCTTGATACCTCGTCCTTCCGTTTATCGCTGCTTCGACGTGGAGGGATCAGCCGATCGATCGAAAACTACAGGGTGAAAGATTGGAGTGGGAACGATTGCCGGAGCCGTGCCTAAAACTACGCCCATCGGCGACTATCGTCCGCATGCATTGCCACCGCGGTTTCGCAGCTCAGTCGCGAGAAGCGAGCGGATCGCGCGCGATCGCTCCCGCGGGTGTTTCAAGTCCTCGCGTTGGTGCTCGTCGGCGACGTCGATCAACCCGTCCGAGTTTGGCAGCGCTTGTTTGGCTCGACCGCGCGCAACATGGGTGTGTGCAAGATAGTCAAGTGGTTCAAGTAAGTTCCCGTTCATTCTAAATCAATAACGCGAGAGAAAAGCGTCGATAGTGTTTGAAAAAAAAATGTTGAGGAAAACTGGAGTAAATCACAGTCTTCGATCTTTAAGTCTGATCTACGACATGCTCTCTGCGCCTAGAAACAGTCTATTTTGTGGTCAATAAATGAGTTTAAAAAATGGATAAACTGTACAATTGTACATTGCTGACAAAGTTTTTTTAAGAGCTTATTGATTTGCATACAAAACAGAATGTTTTCAATCGCAAAGAGCACGTTGTGAATTAAGCTTTTGATTATTATTTCTTTTATCGATGAAGTACGTAGTTTAAAAGCAAATTAATATTCTTCGTCTCAATGTATGTATGTATTCTCGTTGTATCATTTCCATTCTTTCCACACGTTTGAAGAGAAAGAGCAGCGCGAATAATTTTCTGGCTTGAGAAAACAGTGAGTTAGTATCGGCGCAAGGTGAAGGTCGCCGACATTCGTATCGAATAAACTGATAAGAGCGCCAAAAAATTAATCGGCTCGTTAAATATATCGACAGTATAATTTCCACGCGAAGCAAAAATGTTTGATCTGTTATGTCGATCTGTTATGTATTTAAATCTCTTTGCGAGATGACCAACACAAAAGAAACAAAATCACGTCGTTACTGTAGGAAAGCACACCCTCAGACATAAATAATACTTGACAATTAGAATAATGCTGTGCGCGAAGTTCTTCCAGGATTTTACTTCTTCCGACATTATATCGATTCCTTCTTTTATGTTAACGAAGAGGATCAGCATCTAAAAGACTAAAAGATCGACTTACTCTTCACTGACGAGTCGAATGCTCTCCCTCGCTATAATCCACATTATTGGAACTCCGTCGCGTTACATCACACAGGATGCGCCACGTACACATTTCACTGCACCGCACTGCCCGTTTTCGTCCACTGTAGAACAAATATAAATTACACATGACAATCGGAATAATGTGCGCGAAATTTCCTCAAGATTTTACCCCTTTGGTTATTGCGTGTACATTTTAATACACTATATTACTCTATAAAAGTAGGTATCTAGTTGCAGTTACAGTTTTTTTTTTTCGTTAAAAATGTTTGTTGGCGATTCTCTTTTGGGAGAGCTCGCTGGACCGCTGCGGATGGAAGCAGGGTGAGAGGGCTTTGCGGCGAGAGACTCGGGGAACGGATGCACGCATGCGAGGGTAGTAATCACGTGATCGAACACTCTTGGCGTTTGAGTAAAATACCGTGTCAGTTTAATAAGTATAAAAGCTTACAGTTCGAGCAGTCAATTACAGAACGGGGATGAGAAGTCTCTTAATCACTTGCACGGGTCGATAGTATTTATCTGAAGCCGGCCTTGTGAATGCGGATGCCCGTGAGCCGTGTCCACGCTACGCCGGCGTGCGAAGCGTGGTGAGCTTGCGCTGCCGGTGATGCTGTATCGTATGTCCTGAATGTGTAGCACTGCGAAGTGTTCACTGAATGTTCACACTGAGTCAGTTCTCGGATGAGAAAGTCCACTAGAGCACTACAAAGATCTTCTGCACTTCACGACGCGTGTACTCGGTATCGTTGCCATGAGCCAAAAGGGTGCCGGTAACGGACGTGACGAAGCGCCGTCGCCTCGAGTCACGATCGGGCATGCGCGCACCGCGCTCCTGTGGCGCTGCACGCTCTGACCCGGCTGATGCTGCCATCACGCCGGTGACGAACAGACCGCGATTCATAATTGAATCCGGAACAATGTTACAGTTACAAGTTACCAATTCTGAAAAGTAACGCGTTACAGTTACTCTAAAAGTAACGAGTCGTTACTTTGCAGTTACTTTCTTGCAATGAAAATAAAAATATCAAATCTGCACATGAATTGTAAAGCGTTTATGCGTAAATGCGAGGCCTGATGTGATCTGTGGAGGTTTAAAGAGAAAGTAACGAGGTGAACTTAGAGTTACCAAAAACTAGTAACTGCAACTGTAACTTCGTTACAAGTAACGAGCTACTATCTTTTCTACTCGCGTATACATTGTTGAAATATCTCGATCGCGGATCTACGACCCGGAAGTGCGCACGTTGCGGACGTCGACGTAGATTTCCGGCGAACGAGGTCGAGACTCCGAAGGAGTCTGTTCGCGTCGCATGCCCCAACATATGCTCCTACTTGCCCCAACGACCAATACCGTCACTTAAATCGCAATTAAAACGACGGTCTCGGTTGCTCCGATAAACGACGTTAATAAATACCGCGATCAACCCTTCCACGGCCGGTTTGTTTTTACTATTCTTTAAAAAGCGGAACGCGCCAGCGTCCCGCGGGACCAGAGAGACGAGAGACGCGTGCGGGACCGCACGCCCCAGCGGTCGCGAGAAGGTTGGCCCACACACACGCCGCCAGTCGTCACGCTCGTCACCCTCGAGCGATGCTACGGTCGCGCGGAACACACTTGACGAGTCTCCCGCGCGCTCGCCCCGTTTCTCATCCCCGGCACACCGGAGCCACGGAGTATCACACCAGCAGGGCAAGGGGGGGGGGGGGATTCTCAATAGCTGCGTTCGGTACTGCAAATCCGAGGCGTCGGAATGCTCCTCCTCCCTTTCTATCTCATTGTCAGTCTCCTCTCTCGTTCGCTCGAATGCAAAAGAGCAAG